AGGTCAAAGTTGTTGGTATCCAAAGGAAGGCCTTGTCACAAACAATACACATTTGAAGTTTGAAACCCCAACCTCCAACTGTTTAGAAGTTATGGCCAAGGTTAAAGTCTCATAAAATTTTGCAAAAGTGGGTCAAACTCCAAGGTCAGGTCAAAAGGTCAAATATGATGGTACCCGAAGAAAGGTCTTGTCACAAGGAATACACATGTGAAATATGAAAGTCATAGCTCCAACAAATCAAAAGTTATGGGCAAGGTTAAAGTTGACAACAGACAGACAGACAAACAGATAAACAGACAAACAGATAAACAGACAAACAGACAGACAGGACAAAAACAATATACCCCGGGGATCTTTCGATCCGGGGGCATAAAAATGTTATTACCCAAATAAAGGTCTTGAACAAAGAATATACTGTGAAATATATACTAGTATGAAAGCCACAGCAGCAACAGTTTAAAAGTTATGACCAAGGTTAATTTCTTTAAAATGTCAAACTCCAAGGTCAAGGGATCATAATTGTTTGTACTTGAGGGAAGGTCTTAATTGTTACAAGGAATACACATGTGGTATTAAAAAAGCCTTAGCACCAACTGTTCAAAAGTTAAAACCAAGGTTAAAGTTTTTCAAAAGTAGGACATACTCAAAGGTCAAGGTAAAATGGTCAAAATTAAAGGTATACAATGACAGGCCTTGTCACAAGAAAATTACCTATGTAATATAAAAGCCCTAGTACTAGTCATTCAAAAGTTATTGTCAAGGCTAAAGTTGTTTAAAAGTTGGTCAAACTCCAAGGTCAAGGTCAAATGGTCAAACATATTTATACCCAAGGAGGAGACTTATCACAAGGGATACAGATGTGAAGTATAAAAGCCATGATAGCACCAACTGTTCAAAAGTTTTGGCCAAGGTTATAGTTTGGTAAAATTTTGCGAAAGAGGATCAAACTCCAAGTTCAAGGTCAAGAGGTCAAATATGTTGGTACCTGAAAGAAGTCCTTGTTACTAGGAATACACATAAGAAATATGAAAGCAGTAGTTCCAACCAATCAAATTTTATGGGCATAGTTAAAGTTTTTGCGGACAAAGAGGCTAACACAGTCTAACAGACAAATAGACAGGTGGACAGGACAAAAACTGTATGCCCCCCGGATCTTCGATTACAGTAGCATAATAAAATGTCGGCGTATTTGGGTTTTCGCATTGGTCTTAAATCTGAAAATCCAAAGGATTGCAAGGTGCATTACGATACGCTTTCACATCATGTTCTATAACCCAGAGCATATTGTCTGCAAAGATAAATATTTAATTCAGTATTTAATTAGCTATGCATAATTATCTATGTTGTTTTAAAAAGGAAATTTAAAAAAAAATATTTGTTTTATATTTTTCGATGTAGAGATATACAGAAAATGTTTTCCAATTTTAAGTCCTATCGCAATACACATTTAAAAAAAAGTGTGTGTTGGAGGGGGGGGGGTCATTACATTTTTGCTGGGATTCGCCTATGTATGACCGTAGAGAAACAAAGAGTGGGGAGGGTGCAAGCAGCAACTAAATCAAAATTTACATATTAAAACTACAACAAAAGACTTTTCAGAAGGTCTGCCCCCCCCCCCCCCGTACAATCCGGACCTGTGAGAAAAATTCGATCGTACATTCAGAGTCCCAGGGCACCAGGAAAGAGTGGCAAAAAGAGAATATCGGTTTATTTCAGTCTATAAGTCGAATCAAAATATCTCTTCCTCAAGAGTCTTCTTTCTTTGAGTTCTTCCCAGTGATCGTGTGATTTATTTCATTTAATTTACTTTCTGTACTGGACTTGGAAAATGAGGACATCTTTAGGTTCCTGAGCTGGCCTTGAAGCCCGCAGAACAGATTTTCTGCTTTATGATAAATTCAAGTGATATGTAATACGGTATTAATTTTGTGTTAATTTTATTAATGTTAATTTCATCAAGAAATATGAAAAATTAATGTTTTAACTATACATAGTGAGGCATTTTTTGTGTGGAACGATTATTTTGGGGTTTTCAAGATTTTTTCATATGGTACACATGATGAGTAAAATTCACAGCATGCAGCTCCAGCCTTAATTCCAGCTATGTTCCAAAATATTATTATTCAACGCGAAAAATTAGAATTAGCCGATAGAATATTTTGAATCACTTCGGAAATGCTGCCGTAACACCAGACTGAGTTCACAATATCGAATGATTTTGATTGACAGGTGTAGCGCCGTTGTGCATGGATTTCGTGTAACTATACATGTACTGCAGATTGTGGTTGAAAATAATAAACAAACAGATCTAAAGAAAAGATATTGTATACTGTACATATATTTGTTAAGAACCAGTTCATTCATGAAACGAATTTAGTTGTATTATGTGGGCCCATGTTAGATTTGACAGGTTGATTTACTAGTAGAAATTCAATGGACCACAGTCATTTAGGGTATTCCGAATCACCCCGCACATCGCGACACTCGGTAATTTACCTTACCGCTGTACCTCGCACGACACATGCACAGGTGTGACAACCAAACAGTCATTATTAGTAAGGTCTATACTTATTGCATACAACAAATAAAGAGGTAAACATAATGCGTTAACTAAAAGAATTAATTATTTTAATTCATTAACTTCCTATCCTTTTCGAAGAAAATGCCCGTGTAGAAACGTATTTCTCATCGATGTCGTGGCGTTGTTGGTGGATGAAACATGGCATATAAGGTATCGATAGAACGGCAATTTTATAAGCTTTTGTGAGTATTATTTGTTTTTTATAACACCTCAAAAATATACTAGTTATGGCCGCATTTGTAGCCCCCTACAGTTTAGAACCACGTGTGTACATGCCCCTAGCCAAATAAATTGCACACGCTACATGTATACTTGTTATATGTCAGATTATTATTTTTTTTATAACATTGTTTTTCTTAAATGCAAGGGGTATGAAAGTAATGATTTGACAAAGCAAGAGCTATAATAAGACTCCCGGGTCCCGGTATACACTTGATCAGTGTTGATCAATGTTCATATGTACGAGTACACGTATGCAAATAATTCGATAGCTTTTGAAGATTTCAACATACATTTTTGTAACACGCATATTTGTAATAACCACTTTATATACGAAACAAATTTTCATTCTCTTATATGGTAATATGGACGTCGTAATAGATCTGACTGAATGCTTGACATGCCTGTTTCAAAAACGTTTCCTAAGTTATCTTAAGATATGCCTAAGTTATAACTTTAGAAGTTCCTAAGATTTATCACAGCTGTATCGCGAAACAATCTTATCTAAAAAAAAAAAAAAATCATTTCTTAAGTTGTGCCTTTAAGGACTAATAAAATAACATTCCCTCTCTATATACAACTCCCAGAATGGTATATATTTTTAGATTCAAAAAGGAAGGGTGCGAGGATTGGGGATTGCCCCCACTTTTAAAGGATTTGGACACAAGTATGCTTAACTTTGCGAAGTGTGTTGCTAGATCTAAGCATTCACAGACACAACCTTTCAAGCCATCTTCCCTTCCGAGCACACGATATTTGTATTTTAATTTTTAAACATTGTTCTAGGTGTTATACATTTACTTTATTTTGTTCTTATAAGGTATCTACATGTAAATAAAATTTTAAAATGAATGCTTCGTAGCGAACACATGCGAGTTTACATTTTTCAAACAATCTTTGCCAATTACTACACTGCATGTACACGTTAGTTGTTTGTGCGGTGTAGAGCAACTATCAGAGTACACAATGTAGTTCAACATCGAGGTGCCCGCGGCTCTCTGTGGCCACGTGTATGTAAACGAGGACTGGACTACAACACTTAAAGACACAAAGCGGCAGAGATGGGTGAAACTGTTTGCTATATTACAAAGACTTGAATTATAGTACATGTATATTTGAAGGAATTTTTATTTATGTTAATGTTTATTTAATTCTATAAATAATAAATGGACATTCACAAGAGTGATGGTAAAAATAATATGTGCGTAGCATGCGTAGTAATTACAATTATTTACCGAAGCCCCCATTCAATTACAATTGCAGATGAATTAAAATACAACACGGGATAGAGCAATACTTTTTTAAAATGTATTGTTGCGTGAACAGACAAAAACAGCGATTAAAATTCAAAATGATTTTTATGCACCAGTGTTTGGAATTAAGATTATAAAAGATCGGTAAAGTAATCTTACTGATTCGATATAATTAAAAACATAACTTTCCATTAATTAATAGCTCTTTGTACAAAATTGACATTATACGCGATCACAAATACTAGCTTTGTGTATGGCCACAGGTGGCTAGTACACTGGTGACCTCGATCAACATAACTAAACATCGAGCTGAACATGGAGACCGTAATATGCATACAGCTAATGATCGTGAATTATTCAATGCATACAGTTTAAAATCACTTACAAAGTTTGTTGTAATAATAAACGTAGAAAGATAGATTCAATATTCTCCGCTTTTGAACACTATTAACCTAATTTAAAAAAGAAGAAAAGAAAGACTAGTTGTAATAAATAATTTAATAGTGAACCATAAACCACGTTTTAAACCTTATTAAAAAGAAAATTAACATTAAGGATGGATTCTTGTCAGCATTTTACGTCGTCAATGGGTCTCCATAAATTATGCAAGTCGTAAAATGCAAAATTCATATTTAATTATACTGAAGGAAAAACTATTAGTTGATTTGTCAGTTTAAGTAATGTTGATTCTATTTCTTATGAAATTAATAAATTTTTCGTATTATTTTTTTGCTTTGCGACAATCGCCATAATATTCGCAGTTCGGTAGCGAATGTCAACATGTCCAGATCATTTTCCGTAGAAGACCCCGAGAGGGTTGTTTTGTAAAATCTACAAACTGTGAACATTATCGAAGCATTGCAGAAGCCCAGGTACAGTTATGACAAATTAAATCATAGTTATTTATGCCCGGGGCGTTCCGATCAACCAAAAGGAAAGCTTGAACTTGAAGGTCACAAACATGTGCAACAGCTGTGCAAGATTGCAGATCCACGTTGCCTCGTCTGATGTCATGTCGTGTGCAGTGAGCATGTAAGTTAGTTATATATGTCTAAGATTTTTATAATTTTGAAATTGAATTCAATTACATGCTGGTTTGTATTGATTTATGGGAATTCGCACGGAAATTGTCAATATTTCGTCTGCTTATTCCCGCGACTTGTCAACATTTGAAGAGGATATATTTCGTGTGTTCGTCAGGGTTATGAATAATAATTCACAAAAATAGCATTTTTGGTATATGATTACAACAAATTTTATATTTTTAACTAGCCTACTAGGATACTTCAAGACACAACAATCATCAAGTTATTAGAAAAGTAAGGTGTTCCGCTTCGGTACAAATCAAACGGAAAAATAACTTGATATTGTATGTGGAAATATCAATAATATTGAAACACACAATTGTCTAATAAATAGAGCAAAATGAAACATTATTGTTAAAAACTATTTATATTATTGTTTTTTTTTTTTTACTTTTCTGTACTTTTAGGATAAAAAATGTCTATTTATTTATATCCAATACACTATAATACATGTATAAGACATTATACATGTGGTAGAATATATTAAAATATCTTAATTCATTTAAATCAATAAATGAAATACAGATGAGATAATTTGTTTAATCTTATAATCAATTTCCATTAATTTAAAAAAAAAATAGTCTAAGGGATGTTCATGTCTAATTCTTAGGAGAAAAACAACCCTACTTTACCCTAGACTAGAAAAAAGACTGGAGGTCAGAATGCAGGATGATTGAGCATGGAGTGCTGGCAGATGGACTATTGAGGTACAAGTATAAGAAATATGGACACTACTTTATCTAACTATCAAGTAATGCGGCATCCGTGCTGCTATGTAAAATATTTTACTTTTTTTTAAATTATAGGTCAACAAAAAATTTGGACTTTCACCAGGTGGACACATGTTCAGCAAGAAATTCTCACATCAAATGAATGATGGCTGTCTGTGGAAAAGAGATTTTCTCAGAATATATCATGTCAGAAGCAGGAATTACATATTTATCTGATCAAAGAAATGTTTTTGTAGAAATGTGGAAGTCAATGCATGTTATCAAAGTCACTCTGCTTGTTGCATGATTCCATTCTTGATTTTTTTCAGAAACTTTCAGTCAAAAATAGTTTTATTTATAATTATATAATGTTTAATTTTTTGATTCCCAAGTACCCGATACAGTGCAAGCTTTGAAGAATGTGATTACTTTACAAAATCTTTGATTCAGATTTGAAATCTTACTCCCAGAGTGAATTTTTCAAGCATTATCTTTCATTAGATTACAATGTGAAGATTTACATGTACTGGCATTACAACAACTTGTAAATGATATAAACCTAGCTCTATGTATTCAGTTGCTTTACATTTTCAAATACAGTTAAAATCTTAAAATACAGTTCTGGAATGCATAAAAATGTGCCTGCTTTAGATCATTTAGTTAAAGGGTGATTTTAAGCAAGAGCATGCCAAACAAAATTGCTGGTAGTGGCCGGGTTAAAATTTAGATTTTTACAAATGAACTACATATACAAGTACTTGCAGTAGAAACCCTCAAGAGGTAATTTTTAATTCAATTTCAATACAAGTTATTGACACTGATCAATAAATGTTTGTGCTACAAATTCTCAAAAAGAAATTTCATCCTTGAATAAGTATTTTGAATCTAAATGTGAAATTAAGTTTGATAGCTGCATGCATATTATTTTTACAAAGTTCAAGGATGTCATTTTCAGGCAAAGATGTCAAAGGGCATTTGATTGTCATAGATGGCTTTTTTGTTATCTTAAAACTCCAGCAAATTTTACGCAATATATGATCACATTGAGGAGTTATATTTATTGGTGCTGAACAAACTATATACTTATAAATGTGTGTAGGTATTTATTGTCCCTCGCTTTCGCGAAAGAGAGGGGACATTAAATCTCATTCGTCTGTCTGTCACAAAAACTTTAACCTTGGCCATAACTTTTGAGTGAGAAGAGATTAGGCTTTTGTATTTCACATGTACATTACCTGTAACAAGACCTTTCCAAATATACTGTGAATTTTGACCCCGTGGCCTGGGCCTTGAAGTTTGACCTACTTTTCAAGAAAATTAACATTACCTTAAATTGGTCATAACTTTTGAATGAGAAAAGATAGGACTTTCATATGCCTGTTCATTACCTGTGACAAGACCTTTCAAAATTATACTATGACTTTTGACCCCATGATGTTGACCTTGAAGTTTGACCTACTTTTCAAAAAATTAACATTTCTTTAATTTGGTCATTAAATTTAAATGAGAAAAGATAGGGCTTTCATATTAAATATGAACATTACCTGTAAGAATACCTTTCCAAATGTACTATGATTTTTGACCCCATGACCATTACCTTGAAGTTTGACCTACTTTTCAAAATTTTTATCTTTGCTTATAACTTTTGATTTAGAATAGTTAGGGCTTTCATATTTGACATGTGCATTAGTAGTGAGAAAGTGTTTATATATAATATATATATATATATATATATATATATATATATATATATATATATATATATATATATATATATATATATATATATATATATATATATATATATATATATAATATATATATGCTATAATTTTTTACCCCTTTACCTTGACCTTCATGTTTGACCTAAATTTTAAAAATTTTTATATTTGGTGATTTCTTTTGAATGAAATATGATAGTGTGTTCATATTTGACAAGTGCATTACCTGTGTCAAAATGTTTCTGAATATGCTATGATATTTGACCCTATGACCTTGACCTTCCAGTTTGACCTAATTTTCAAACATTTCATCAGTTTGCTAACTTTTGAAGGAGCAAAGATAGGGCATTCATATTTGACAAGTGCATTACCTGTGACAAGCATTTCCAGATGTACTATGATTTTTAATCCCATGACCTTGACCTTGAAGTTTGACCTAAGTTTTAAAAAGTTTATCATTGCTAATAACGTTTGATTGAGAGAAGATATGGTATTTACATTTGACATGTGCATTACCTGTTTCAAGACCTTTCTGATTGTATACTCTGGTTTCTGATATTTTTTTTTACATGTGCATCACTTGTGAGAAGATCTTTGGATTTTATTATGATATTTGACCTCATGACCTTGATCTTGAAGTTTGATGTAGTTTTGAGAAGCTAAAGTCTTTGCCATAACTGTTATTAATTCAATAATTTATGTCTTTTTGTATGATGCACAGATAACACAGGACGAACAAACAAGACAGTTACAATATGCCACAAATAATGGCATCCCATCCACTAAGACATTGAAAGCAGGGGACCACAATTCTTTGAATTTGCTTGTTGTTTTCAAAAGTCAGTTTACAAATGTAAAGTATCCAATAATAACATAATACCAGGGACCTATATGTATATAACTACATATACATGTATAGGCATGTATATTAGTCCCTCTGATATTCATATATCAAGCATTGAATGGTATGTTCACTATACATGTATACTGATTTCATGTTTATGTCATAAATAATGTATTGAAATCTTTTCTAGTCCGTGAAGATTTTTTGTATGATTTTTCTCATAACTTTTTGGAAGGTTTATTATTTATTCCTGGTTATATTGAAGGTTAAGTTGCTTTGAATTAGTCCTGTGCATGTGAAGAATGTATATGATAATTTTTCTGTAATTGCCACTAGAAAATTGATGTATTTTATAAAATTGTCAAACATAAAATTCATAAGAATAAAATGACAGAGGAAATTCGAAATGAATATTTTGAATATCATTAGTGTAAAATACCATAAAAATAGAATGTATAACTGGTAGAAATGAATGTATTTATGTCACAATTACACCAAATTGATATATTTTTGGGGATTAAAAATCTTTCTTATAGACATTAAAAACACTCTGTAAATTGAAGATTTCAGAAAGTATAGAGCAAATTCGGGCTAATTTTTCTCGATAATTTGCCTGATTACTATATCTTTTTTACCTTGTAAATTAATCTTGAACCTTTGAATATTCATCAGACAAAAATCTAAATATTTGACATTATATGGTCAATTGTAAAAATTGAGATGAAATTTCATGTGAATTCATGAAAACTGAGAATTTTGAAAAAATATCGAGGAAATTCGGATTAAATGTATTTATTGAATATAAAGGATATCACGTTATCTTTTCACCAGCTCATTTCATATGAATTGGTCATCAAAAATAAGTAACAACTTTAATTTTATGGTGAAAGGTATATTTTCAGTCAGTAAAATTTATTTATATGCATAAATTTCAAAACTTCTCTGTGTAAAAGTACTATTTTTAGGACTGACTTTCAAATGACCTTGACTGAAAATCAAGGCCGATGACACCAAAGTTTTTGGATGTTAAAATAGTGTAAACAGTCTGAATATTGAGTATTCAGAAAATCAAGATTCTGTCATTATAAGAAATATGAGAAGAATCCATCCTTAAATACCGCAGGGTATATTATTGATAGCAAGTCTGTTTAAGTTATACACATGAAGAGGTCTGATTTCCTTGCCGAATGAAAAACGTTACCTGTTTACCTGGCCTGCTTTCTAATACGTATTACGCAATACCCATGGTATACTCGAACAAAACAACATTTTCATTAGATCAAAAAGGTGTAAAAGAACAATTTTGTTCCCAAGATCCAGATCGAAATATTTACCGTTTTTGAGTTATAAAGCAAACACTTTTAAGGGCCCAAGATCCCTAATCATAGGGGCCAGCCCCTTTTAAATAGTATAATATGAAAGCCCTTGCAATTATGCACAACTTTTGTTCTACATGTCTTAACAAAATATTTCTAGTTTTCAAGATATAAAGGAAAATATGTCAAATTTTTTGCTGTTTTCCGCGTTCTAACTTTTGAACCCTCTCTAGCGCCATTTTTAATGCAAAAATCAAAAAACAAAAACCGATGTGCACAACTTCAATGCTTCCTCTTTTCAATTTCAAAGGGTTTTGTGCTCCAATTATAACCATTTCTGAGCCTTTGTCTGGAAATCGGAGGCATGCAAAATTCAATCAAAGGGGAATAACTCGTGAACAGAAGGTAATTTCCGAATTGTATTACGGTATTCTGACAGTGTTTTGTAAAGTCTAAAAGCTCTGAAAATTTGAACAAAATCTGTTTAAAAATGAGGAAGATATGAAGCGTCAAAGTTGGTCTCTAGGAAAAAAAAAAGAATAATCTTAATCATCACAATCAGTAGAAGGTCTTCCGTTGGAACCTTAATAAATTACTCAAGATATTCAAACAAATAACAATTGACTAAATATATATTTTCACAAAACTTAAGAATTTCCAAGAGTAACGTATTTCTTACAAGTAAATAGCAACAAAACATATTTTTACCCTTTTTCCTGGTCAAAATGAATGTCAGGGGACGACAGGGGGTTGGCAGGGTGGTCAGGGACTTAGTCAGGGGACATCAGGGAGTTGACAGGGACGTCAGGGAATGTCAGGGGACATCAGGGGTTAGACAGTGGTAACAGGGGCAAAGTCAGGGGACGTCAGGGAGTAGACAGGGTAGTCAGGGACAACGACAGGGGATCATAGGAGAAAGTCAGGGGGAGAAAGGAAAATGTCAGGGACAGACAGGGGAACGTCAGGGGATTTTTTGGAATCTAAGGGGAAAATCATTACAGTAGTGAAAAAAAAAGGGGGGGGGGGGGGAGAAGAAAAGAGAAGAAAACCAGACACACGTGTTTTTGTTTTAAACCCTTTCTAAGTTTACAGATAATCTCCCCAATAAATCTGAGGAATGTTAAGTAGTTTCAAATGTATTTTGTCTTAAGATTTGTACATGTACACATATATATTACAACTACAAGCGTTTTGTCATTGACAAAGATGTACATGTACAAAATGATACAGGTATTACTGCTAAAGTCAATTAATTCTGCGTACATAATTGAATTACTCTTACTTGTAATTTGACGGCTCATATCAGCCATCGTACATATGAGATACCCGGTAAAATGAAAAAAGTAATGCTTATCAAAATGAATGTCATGTCGATTTTTTTTTTTCATTTTGCTCTTAAATG